AGAAAATATGACACTACTTGCTAATAAGCTTGAGTCAGAGATAAAATGCGGACCAAAATATTTCGTATGTGATGACTTGGGATCAAATTGTAACGAACTTCCACAAACGCTGTGAAAAGAAGATCAGTATATATGATCACGTCGAGGCATGTATTCAATCGATAGTTCTCAAGAAGACGTTTGAACTTCGATACTTCTCATGGATTTCACAAGGACAAAGCGATGAGTACAACAAATCTGAGCGCGGGACGAGTACAGCCAGCAAGAGTGCTGGAATGTGATGGAGCGCTAGAATCAAAGAAACCGATAATAAGACTAACCTCCACATTTTGTTTCTTTCATATATCACAGAGTGAAAAATACAATATATTAGGATTATTTATTTGTTTTTCTTGCATGATTACAATTTATCTGGGAGAGATGTAATTATTTTTCAATCAGAAAAATCAGACAAATCATTTTGTTTTTGTCGATCAATAGCATCAAGGATAGATAACTGAAGGGCTTTTTGGAAATCATCGTCATAACTTTCATTCGCATAATCTCCTGGATTGAAGCCCATAGATGGTCTTAAGTTCATTGATTCCAACGTCGAATCACTCTCTTTATTTTTCATCAATATCTTAAAAAATGACTGATGTGAAAAATTTTACATTCTCCACCTTAACGATGTATATGAAATCATATCAAAAATGAAATGAATCGAACAACTATACATAACATAGCAATCAGAAATTACTTGCAATAATTTTTGGAATTGGTGTTTACGTTGACAAATACAAAACTACACCACAGTAGCTGTGCAAGCCTACACAAAGTTGAAGTTTTAAAATTAATTTAAATCAAGTAATTTATAAATTTCAATTAAATTATTAAGATATAACCTCTTCTTGATGAATAAGCCAATTGATCCTTTTTACAATTGCATTTTCATCTGCTATTTCCATTGATTTGGAAGCTACACATTCTGCTCTCAATCCGTAAATTAATTTAGTTGGGATAGATCTTTTTGGTGGATCGCGCATCTGATTAATAACAAAATTGCTGCAACATGACTCGTCATCAGTATGACCGGGATGTGGCTTTTGAAGATTAGAGCTCGAGCATGGCTTATCATCGAGGTCACTGCTGGAAAGCTGTTTTTGAAAATCGCGGCTTGCAGATGGCTTATCATCGAGGTCACTACTGGAAAGCTGTTTTTGAAGATCATGACTTGAGCATGGCTTATCATCGAGGTCACTACTGGAAAGCTGTTGTTGAAGATCATGACTTGAACATGGCTTATCATCGAGGTCACTACTAGAAAACTTTTTTTGAGATTCACAGCTCGAACATAGCTCATCATCGCAGTCACTACTAGAAGGCTGTTTTTGAAGATCATGGCTGGAGCACGACTTATCATCGATGCCACAAATAAAACACTTGTCAAATTGATAACTTGAAAGCTGTTGATTTTGATCATAATTTTTTGCATTATTTCCATCCTTAAAACAGTGAATCTGGTATATATTCGGATTTTCGTCAAGGTTGAACACAGCTATAAATTCGATATTGCTGTTCATTTCCTTGTAATGGGCAAAGAGTTCTACGTTTTGTTCCTGAAAAATTAGGACGAATTGAGAAGTATTACATTCAGAAGAATCAATTACCCGAGTTTCGGAATAGTGACGATGACAGCAACAGTAAAAGATCAAGCAAGTCCACAACAGCAAGAGAAGCAGTGAATAATTGTGGAATCAAAGCTAGATTGAGGTGGTATTGCTGTAACCATAGGAGGGTCTGATGAGAATATTTCTGATGTTGTTTCTCCCGAGATATATGTGTTAGAAGATCGGTATGTCTCAAAATAGCAAGAAATCCCTAGAGATGTTGTAAGAAGTAAGGAACTACCAGCACCTTTTGTATTTCGCGTGGCAAAACTAAAAAATTTTTTAGAAGAAAAGGTGGCTAGGGATGATGGAAATCATGTTACGAATTAGAGCATAAAATATTGGGTAAAGATATAAAAGGAGTTAAAAGACAAGACGAATTATTTTCTCGTGGTAAACTAAGGGTGGTATAAAACGCAATGCAATTCATAGCAGGAGATTATAAATACGGTCGGTATTGCCAGAAAAGATTCAAGGGCTGATCCAGATTTCGCTTTGTTTGCGAATACTTTCACCGAATGAAAATTATGGTGCTGCTCAGGCAGGATAGGGTTAAAATACTGCTGACAAAGCAGGTAATTTTGATGCCACGATCTACATTTAGGGAAGCTTAGTAGTAAGGTAGATTGAACTTTTTGGAATTAGAAAATGATGATGAGCTGAAGCACCTCTTGACGGAACGTAACATCGTATTAGATGAGATCTTGACCAGTATATGATACACAGCACAGCGTCAACTTCACAAGCAGGAGAAGTGATAAGTAGAAGCCTAAATGAAGTCTTACCTGAGAAGAGCAGACAATAATGATTGAAGTATCGTCATTTACTGAAAATAATGAGAAAACTCTAAATTGTAAACAATTATGGTTACTTCGTTCGACTGAATATTTTGGTAGCAAAAAAATGCGATTTCATTGATTTTTTCCATTGTTA